AACCAGTCACAAAAAGATAAATACTGAATAATTCCACTTGTGTGAGTTATCTAGAACAGTCAAATTCATAGAGAGAAAAAGTAGAATGGTGGTTGCCAGTGGCTGGAGAGAGAGGCAAATGAGGAATTGTTGATCAAAGGGTATAGAGTTTCAATTCTGCAAGATGAAAAAGTTCTGGAGATGAGTTGCACAACAACGTGAATATATCAAACACTGCTGAACTGTACACTTAAAAATGGTTAAGATGATAAATTCTATGTTATATGTATTTTATCACAATTTAAAAAAATTTTTAATGCCAAGAGCAGGTTAAGTACCTTAATAAGGTGATGGTAAATTCACCTGATGAACTAAATGTGGATACATATTATACATGTTTAACATATGCACATACACATGTAAACACACACACAGACACACACATAATTTGATAAGTGAACTTACCATCATCTTATTAAGAAACTTAACCTACTCTTGGCATATATATGAATAGCAGAATGAGAACATAATTCTCTCCATTCCTCTCATCCAAAACCCCATAAAGTGTAAGATTTATCTTTTAAAAAATATCAATCAATAACAGCCCTGGGAAATGAAGAAAAGTGCCTAACATAGGATCCTTTAATCAGAGAAAGCAGACAGGACCAGGGATCTTCTAAGGCCGATGGAATAGTGACACTGCTGTGCACACAGTTCTGGGGGAGCTCCAACTCAAGGGTACAAGGAGTGGGAGGACTGACAGGGGCAATCATAGAGAAATTACTAAGGGATCTGCAGATGAAGCAGTTGTTTTCACTAGGCATACCCCTTCCTCTGTTTGCACTGATCTGGAACAGCAATGGCATAACCCCCAGATTGAGGTGAGGAGCATGTGTACTGAGTCCTAGGGAGACACTTGATCCCAGAGGGTATGGAAATCTTCACACAAAGGAGACTCTAATTCCTACAGTTGCTGAGGGAATGTTACAGTGAACAGGCAGACAGTCAGGGAATCTCAAATAAAAACTAAACTAAGACTCACCAGACATTTGAGGAAAACCAACACAATGAAAGAAAACTGCCAAAACAAGAATCAAGACCACTTTAAAAACAAGATTATTTATTTCCTCAAGGAGAACTAAGGTGGCAATGAAAAAGAAACAATCGGAAATCTTTTAAAAGATTCCTAAAATTTAAAAAAAAGAATAAAAAGAAAAAGAACACCCAAACTTACTACTAAGGGAATGCAAGTTAAAATAATGAGACACCATTTTTTGGTCCATTGGACTGATATAATTAAAAGGATTAGCAGAAATGCAAAAAGACAGAAACTCTTCGACAGTAAAGGTGGCACTGTAAATTTTTAGTCTTTTAGGGTATGCCATCTGGCAGAATACACATGAAAAATGTGCATATATTTTTATCTAATAATTTCACTTCTAGGAATCTATCCTACAAAATACATAACATGTACAAAGAATCATATACAAAATAGCCACTGCAGCTCCATTTTAATGGAAAAAAAACCTAGAAAAAAGCAAAACATCCATAAATGAGATATTTATTTAATAACAAATGGTAACTAATAATTAATGCTATAGAATGTTATGAAGGTATCAAAAAAGTGAAGTAGACCTATTCATACTAACATGACAAGATCCACAAAGTCCATTAAATGAAAAAGGAAGAAACTATATATATAATGGTTTCATTTATTTAAAAAAAGGGGGTGATATATATATTTACACATGAAACAAGGATTGGTAGCTATAAACTAACCTGTTTACAGTTAGCTCTGGGGAGGACAGATGTTGGAGGTTATAGAAAGATATTTTCATTTTTGGTTTCATGATTAATATCCATTCTTCACTTCTTCCTTTAGGACTAGAAACTGTTAACTCTTAGCCAAGCTCACCTCTGCCCAGCTAAAGATTGCATTTTTCCAGCAAACTTAGGGTGGCCATATGACTAAGATCTGGACAATGAGGTAAGAGCAAAAATAATACATATCAACGATATCCTCAAATTTATTAACTGTACTATGTGCCTAATAATAATAATAATAATAAAAAGTACATGAGACCTGGACAAGATTACTGCATCCTATGTGTGCAGGGAACCCTCTGACTTAGGTAAGGTACAAGATTATAGCAGACATAATGAAAATTAATTTATTCCTCCGAGGTTCAAGGAGCAATATTAAGTATAGCTAAGAGTAACTAGACAAAGGCATTAGAACCAAAATATCCCAATATAACTATTATCTCCTAAACTTAAATTGTAATTATGATTCCATAATTGACAAGCTAATAAGTTTATACCTGTAATAAACTTGTTTTCTTTCATTAACGAGAACTGCCCTTAAAGTTCTCTTTTTTTTTTTTTTGTCTTTTGTCTTTTTCCGTGTCCGGCAACGGATCGCAACCCTCAGTGTTGCCCCCGTACCGGACCGGGGACCGGCAACGGGACCGCAACCCTCGGTGTTGCCCCCGCGCCTCGCTCAGCCAGTGAGCGGGAACCGGTCTGTATGTGGGATCCGAACCCTCGGGCGGGAGCGCCGCCGCGCTTGCGACGCGGCGCACTTATTCAGTGCGGGACCGGGCCGGCCAAAAGTTCTCTTTTTTTTTTTTTGTCTTTTGTCTTTTTCCGTGTCCGGCAACGGATCGCAACCCTCAGTGTTGCCCCCGTACCGGACCGGGGACCGGCAACGGGACCGCAACCCTCGGTGTTGCCCCCGCGCCTCGCTCAGCCAGTGAGCGGGAACCGGTCTGTATGTGGGATCCGAACCCTCGGGCGGGAGCGCCGCCGCGCTTGCGACGCGGCGCACTTATTCAGTGCGGGACCGGGCCGGCCAAAAGTTCTCTTTTTTTTTTTTTGTCTTTTGTCTTTTTCCGTGTCCGGCAACGGATCGCAACCCTCAGTGTTGCCCCCGTACCGGACCGGGGACCGGCAACGGGACCGCAACCCTCGGTGTTGCCCCCGCGCCTCGCTCAGCCAGTGAGCGGGAACCGGTCTGTATGTGGGATCCGAACCCTCGGGCGGGAGCGCCGCCGCGCTTGCGACGCGGCGCACTTATTCAGTGCGCCACCGGGCCGGCCAAAAGTTCTCTTTTTTAAATTTTTGAAGTTTTTCTTTTTATTTATTTTTTAAAAAATGAACCCTCACTCCTGGAGATTCCAGGCCATTTTCAAGTCTGCATTCTCAGCAAGGAAAAGGAACCTGACACAATGATGCTATTACATTAATCCCACCAATCGTTCATGCAAATTTTCATTTGGCCATAAATACAATTTCATCTATTAAAATTTGTAAAATATTTACAAATTAAATAATCATCTGAAACTGTCTCCAGCAATTCCTGTATCACCAAACTGAGGGGAAAAAAATAGGGGCGGGCAGGATTTGGCTTTTATGGTTTCAATCTGGCCCAGAGTCTTTTCTTCACTGGGGAGACCAGAAGCCTGACACTCATGCTCCTCTTTCCTGGGGTGAAGCATTCAAATTCAAAAGTCAAAATTGAAACCAAAAGACATTAGTGAAAAAGTAGCAGCAGATGACACGCACTGAAGGGATACAGAAAGATTTTGAGAGGTCTACTAGCAAAGCAGAAACAGCCTAGGCCAGACATTTCCTCAACTAGCCAACACTAAACAGTGCTTTCATTCTGTGAGAATGAGAAAAACATACATACTGTCTCTTTTTGCCTCCTATCCTCTATACCATTACCATTCATGGATAGAATGGCTTTGCTGAAGACACTTATAAGTTCTAACCCAATAACAAAAGAAAAGAATTTTTTTTTAAATTTTGTTTTTTATTTTTTGGTGGCTGGCCAGCATGGGAACTGAACCCTTGACCCGGGTAGTACAACGCTGCACTAGAACCAACTGAGCTAACTGGCCAGCCCCCAAGAGAAGAGGATATTTAGATTAGAGAACAACAAGGTCTACTAGATTGAATATTTAGATTAGAGTGCAAAAAGGTAAATTAGAGTCAAAAAATTAAATTAAAAAATTAAGTTAAAAAGTACAGATGATAGATGATATATATATAAAACCCAAGTCAACAAAGTAATCTATTTTGTAATATCTGAGTAGGAAAAAATGGGAATAGAGTGTGTGGCAGAGACTACTGTTTGTCCCTCAATATCCATTTTTCATTTCTTCCTTTAGTACTAGAGTCTCTAACTCTTAGCCAAGCACATGACTGCCCAGACAAAGACTGCATTTCCCAGCCTCACTGGTAGTTAAGTGTGGCCATATGACTAAGATCTGGCCAATGAGATAAGAGCAAAATGAGATATATACTAATGATATCCTCAAAAAGAATGGGGTGTGGCCTCTAGTCTTGCTTTTCCTGTTTCTGTAGGCTGGAATGTAGTCAAATAGGAAGCTGCAGCAATAATATTAAACTATAAAATAGAAAGTACATGTTAAACACAGTGGAACACCAAGATGGAAGAAACCTGGATCCCCCCTTCTGATGCTTGTCCTTATTACACCTGCTTTGTTACATGATAGAAATACAGCCTCCTTGTTTAACTGAATAATATTCACTAAGACTGTATTGTTAATCTATGAGGTACCGAGGCTTCCCTTAAAGACTAGCTGTTGAAGCTGTACTTGAATCAGAAAAAGGGGCCGGCCCCATAGCTCACTCGGGAGAGTGTGGCGCTGGTAGTGCCGAGGCCATGGGTTCGGATCCTATATAGGGATGGCCAGTGTGCTCACTGGCTGAGCGTGGTGCAGACCACATCACCGTGCCGAGGGCTGCGATCCCCTTACTGGTCAAAAAAAAAAAAAAGAAAAAGGCTTACCCATTGAACACAGATCACGGACAAACGGGGCTGCCATTTAACAAAACACTAGCACGTGCATACTTACCCACCCTCACAGACTATTCTTGCATATCAGTTATGTTCTTCTGTAAGTTCGTCTCATTACCATAAATGAGATGAAGGTACCCAGAATTGTGCACAACTCTATAATAAGAAAGGGCCATTTAAAACTCTTGATACTTACTGATACATTAGCGCTATCACTGCTTGCAATCTCAGCTGCCTTTTCAATAATCTGTTTAAAAAAAAAAATTGGTTCTCATATTTGTAGAATTTTTAGTGTAAATGACTACTACTTAGACTACAAAGGACTACACATGGTTTGCATTTCTACGCTTTATAAAAGAAACATGAATTTTAAAAAGCAAAATGGTACTTCCCAAGTGCTTCCAACTCTTTATAACAAGGAAATAACGGTAATCTTGTAAGGGACTGTGACTCCTAGGGAGCACTAGGATTGCTTGTAGATAAAATATGTAGTGGCTTGCATACTTATGACAATCTTTTTTTGAAATATAGGAAAATGTATTCTGGTTAAGAAAATGCAAATATACGTAAGAGTTACTAAATGTAGAAAAAGCTTTTGTCAATTATGTATTTTTCTCAATTAACAGATATCAACAGTAGAAGTAATGACAAGGGAAAACCTAAAAATTATTTTAAAAATTCATAAAGTTCAAAGGGGGCCCTCATTCTTGATAAGATGGGAACCCACTTGTTCAGTGGGAACATCAATGGATGAAGAATCACAATCCATCATCCATACCCTGTTACTGAGTTATGCAATCATAGTAAGTAATTTATCTATGGGCTTATGTGTAAAATGTGATAATTCCCATCCATCCCATAGAGTTGCTGTGATGATAAAATGAGATTATGGTGATTAAAATTAAGCAATAACCATAAAATTGACTTGAAAAGCAAAATATATGCAAGTGATTACAGCAATAAGCATTAAATGAAATGAACAGGACTGGGGGGAACTTTCACTTTCTACATCTGTATTATTTATTTTACAATAGCCGTATATAACTTGAACAGTTAAAGGAAACCCAAGCATAGACATAGTTATACATATTTAAAGACTGAAATCTCTATTACATCTTATTCAAGACAGACTCCAAGAAATTAGAAAAGCAAAAGGAAAGTTGCAGATGACTGGGGAATGGTGAAATAAAATACTTTAGGGAAATTTGACTTCTCTTGAAATNTGAGCAGGAACCGGTCTGTATGTGGGATCCGAACCCTCGGCAGGAGCGCCACCGCGCTTCCAAGCGGCGCACTGTAGCAGTGCGCCACCGGGCCGGCCCTGAACACCCATGTTTATAGCAGCATTATTCACAAAAGCCAAGAGGTGGAGCCACTCAAGTGTTCTCTGAATGGATAAACAAAATCTAGTACAATCATATGCTGCACATCGATATTTTGATCAATGACAAACTACATACATGATGGTGTTCCCATAACATTATAATGGCTAAACCATATAGTGTAGGTGTGTAGTAGACTATAGCATCTAGGTTTGTGTAAGTACATTCTATGATGTTCAGACAATAATCATATTGCCTGGCAATGCATATTTCAGAAAATACCCCTGTTGTTAAGGGATGTTTTACTGTATAGACATACAGTGGAATATTATTCAACTTTAAAAGGGAAGAAAAATCAGACATGCTACAATGTGGATGAACCTTGAGCATATTATACCAGATGAAATAAACCAGTCACAAAAAGATAAATACTGAATAATTCCACTTGTGTGAGTTATCTAGAACAGTCAAATTCATAGAGAGAAAAAGTAGAATGGTGGTTGCCAGTGGCTGGAGAGAGAGGCAAATGAGGAATTGTTGATCAAAGGGTATAGAGTTTCAATTCTGCAAGATGAAAAAGTTCTGGAGATGAGTTGCACAACAACGTGAATATATCAAACACTGCTGAACTGTACACTTAAAAATGGTTAAGATGATAAATTCTATGTTATATGTATTTTATCACAATTTAAAAAAATTTTTAATGCCAAGAGCAGGTTAAGTACCTTAATAAGGTGATGGTAAATTCACCTGATGAACTAAATGTGGATACATATTATACATGTTTAACATATGCACATACACATGTAAACACACACACAGACACACACATAATTTGATAAGTGAACTTACCATCATCTTATTAAGAAACTTAACCTACTCTTGGCATATATATGAATAGCAGAATGAGAACATAATTCTCTCCATTCCTCTCATCCAAAACCCCATAAAGTGTAAGATTTATCTTTTAAAAAATATCAATCAATAACAGCCCTGGGAAATGAAGAAAAGTGCCTAACATAGGATCCTTTAATCAGAGAAAGCAGACAGGACCAGGGATCTTCTAAGGCCGATGGAATAGTGACACTGCTGTGCACACAGTTCTGGGGGAGCTCCAACTCAAGGGTACAAGGAGTGGGAGGACTGACAGGGGCAATCATAGAGAAATTACTAAGGGATCTGCAGATGAAGCAGTTGTTTTCACTAGGCATACCCCTTCCTCTGTTTGCACTGATCTGGAACAGCAATGGCATAACCCCCAGATTGAGGTGAGGAGCATGTGTACTGAGTCCTAGGGAGACACTTGATCCCAGAGGGTATGGAAATCTTCACACAAAGGAGACTCTAATTCCTACAGTTGCTGAGGGAATGTTACAGTGAACAGGCAGACAGTCAGGGAATCTCAAATAAAAACTAAACTAAGACTCACCAGACATTTGAGGAAAACCAACACAATGAAAGAAAACTGCCAAAACAAGAATCAAGACCACTTTAAAAACAAGATTATTTATTTCCTCAAGGAGAACTAAGGTGGCAATGAAAAAGAAACAATCGGAAATCTTTTAAAAGATTCCTAAAATTTAAAAAAAAGAATAAAAAGAAAAAGAACACCCAAACTTACTACTAAGGGAATGCAAGTTAAAATAATGAGACACCATTTTTTGGTCCATTGGACTGATATAATTAAAAGGATTAGCAGAAATGCAAAAAGACAGAAACTCTTCGACAGTAAAGGTGGCACTGTAAATTTTTAGTCTTTTAGGGTATGCCATCTGGCAGAATACACATGAAAAATGTGCATATATTTTTATCTAATAATTTCACTTCTAGGAATCTATCCTACAAAATACATAACATGTACAAAGAATCATATACAAAATAGCCACTGCAGCTCCATTTTAATGGAAAAAAAACCTAGAAAAAAGCAAAACATCCATAAATGAGATATTTATTTAATAACAAATGGTAACTAATAATTAATGCTATAGAATGTTATGAAGGTATCAAAAAAGTGAAGTAGACCTATTCATACTAACATGACAAGATCCACAAAGTCCATTAAATGAAAAAGGAAGAAACTATATATATAATGGTTTCATTTATTTAAAAAAAGGGGGTGATATATATATTTACACATGAAACAAGGATTGGTAGCTATAAACTAACCTGTTTACAGTTAGCTCTGGGGAGGACAGATGTTGGAGGTTATAGAAAGATATTTTCATTTTTGGTTTCATGATTAATATCCATTCTTCACTTCTTCCTTTAGGACTAGAAACTGTTAACTCTTAGCCAAGCTCACCTCTGCCCAGCTAAAGATTGCATTTTTCCAGCAAACTTAGGGTGGCCATATGACTAAGATCTGGACAATGAGGTAAGAGCAAAAATAATACATATCAACGATATCCTCAAATTTATTAACTGTACTATGTGCCTAATAATAATAATAATAATAAAAAGTACATGAGACCTGGACAAGATTACTGCATCCTATGTGTGCAGGGAACCCTCTGACTTAGGTAAGGTACAAGATTATAGCAGACATAATGAAAATTAATTTATTCCTCCGAGGTTCAAGGAGCAATATTAAGTATAGCTAAGAGTAACTAGACAAAGGCATTAGAACCAAAATATCCCAATATAACTATTATCTCCTAAACTTAAATTGTAATTATGATTCCATAATTGACAAGCTAATAAGTTTAGACCTGTAATAAACTTGTTTTCTTTCATTAACGAGAACTGCCCTTAAAGTCAAGTCTGCATTCTCAGCAAGGAAAAGGAACCTGACACAATGATGCTATTACATTAATCCCACCAATCGTTCATGCAAATTTTTATTTGGCCATAAATACAATTTCATCTATTAAAATTTGTAAAATATTTACAAATTAAATAATCATCTGAAACTGTCTCCAGCAATTCCTGTATCACCAAACTGAGGGGAAAAAAATAGGGGCGGGCAGGATTTGGCTTTTATGGTTTCAATCTGGCCCAGAGTCTTTTCTTCACTGGGGAGACCAGAAGCCTGACACTCATGCTCCTCTTTCCTGGGGTGAAGCATTCAAATTCAAAAGTCAAAATTGAAACCAAAAGACATTAGTGAAAAAGTAGCAGCAGATGACACGCACTGAAGGGATACAGAAAGATTTTGAGAGGTCTACTAGCAAAGCAGAAACAGCCTAGGCCAGACATTTCCTCAACTAGCCAACACTAAACAGTGCTTTCATTCTGTGAGAATGAGAAAAACATACATACTGTCTCTTTTTGCCTCCTATCCTCTATACCATTACCATTCATGGATAGAATGGCTTTGCTGAAGACACTTATAAGTTCTAACCCAATAACAAAAGAAAAGAATTTTTTTTTAAATTTTGTTTTTTATTTTTTGGTGGCTGGCCAGCATGGGAACTGAACCCTTGACCCGGGTAGTACAACGCTGCACTAGAACCAACTGAGCTAACTGGCCAGCCCCCAAGAGAAGAGGATATTTAGATTAGAGAACAACAAGGTCTACTAGATTGAATATTTAGATTAGAGTGCAAAAAGGTAAATTAGAGTCAAAAAATTAAATTAAAAAATTAAGTTAAAAAGTACAGATGATAGATGATATATATATAAAACCCAAGTCAACAAAGTAATCTATTTTGTAATATCTGAGTAGGAAAAAATGGGAATAGAGTGTGTGGCAGAGACTACTGTTTGTCCCTCAATATCCATTTTTCATTTCTTCCTTTAGTACTAGAGTCTCTAACTCTTAGCCAAGCACATGACTGCCCAGACAAAGACTGCATTTCCCAGCCTCACTGGTAGTTAAGTGTGGCCATATGACTAAGATCTGGCCAATGAGATAAGAGCAAAATGAGATATATACTAATGATATCCTCAAAAAGAATGGGGTGTGGCCTCTAGTCTTGCTTTTCCTGTTTCTGTAGGCTGGAATGTAGTCAAATAGGAAGCTGCAGCAATAATATTAAACTATAAAATAGAAAGTACATGTTAAACACAGTGGAACACCAAGATGGAAGAAACCTGGATCCCCCCTTCTGATGCTTGTCCTTATTACACCTGCTTTGTTACATGATAGAAATACAGCCTCCTTGTTTAACTGAATAATATTCACTAAGACTGTATTGTTAATCTATGAGGTACCGAGGCTTCCCTTAAAGACTAGCTGTTGAAGCTGTACTTGAATCAGAAAAAGGGGCCGGCCCCATAGCTCACTCGGGAGAGTGTGGCGCTGGTAGTGCCGAGGCCATGGGTTCGGATCCTATATAGGGATGGCCAGTGTGCTCACTGGCTGAGCGTGGTGCAGACCACATCACCGTGCCGAGGGCTGCGATCCCCTTACTGGTCAAAAAAAAAAAAAAGAAAAAGGCTTACCCATTGAACACAGATCACGGACAAACGGGGCTGCCATTTAACAAAACACTAGCACGTGCATACTTACCCACCCTCACAGACTATTCTTGCATATCAGTTATGTTCTTCTGTAAGTTCGTCTCATTACCATAAATGAGATGAAGGTACCCAGAATTGTGCACAACTCTATAATAAGAAAGGGCCATTTAAAACTCTTGATACTTACTGATACATTAGCGCTATCACTGCTTGCAATCTCAGCTGCCTTTTCAATAATCTGTTTAAAAAAAAAAATTGGTTCTCATATTTGTAGAATTTTTAGTGTAAATGACTACTACTTAGACTACAAAGGACTACACATGGTTTGCATTTCTACGCTTTATAAAAGAAACATGAATTTTAAAAAGCAAAATGGTACTTCCCAAGTGCTTCCAACTCTTTATAACAAGGAAATAACGGTAATCTTGTAAGGGACTGTGACTCCTAGGGAGCACTAGGATTGCTTGTAGATAAAATATGTAGTGGCTTGCATACTTATGACAATCTTTTTTTGAAATATAGGAAAATGTATTCTGGTTAAGAAAATGCAAATATACGTAAGAGTTACTAAATGTAGAAAAAGCTTTTGTCAATTATGTATTTTTCTCAATTAACAGATATCAACAGTAGAAGTAATGACAAGGGAAAACCTAAAAATTATTTTAAAAATTCATAAAGTTCAAAGGGGGCCCTCATTCTTGATAAGATGGGAACCCACTTGTTCAGTGGGAACATCAATGGATGAAGAATCACAATCCATCATCCATACCCTGTTACTGAGTTATGCAATCATAGTAAGTAATTTATCTATGGGCTTATGTGTAAAATGTGATAATTCCCATCCATCCCATAGAGTTGCTGTGATGATAAAATGAGATTATGGTGATTAAAATTAAGCAATAACCATAAAATTGACTTGAAAAGCAAAATATATGCAAGTGATTACAGCAATAAGCATTAAATGAAATGAACAGGACTGGGGGGAACTTTCACTTTCTACATCTGTATTATTTATTTTACAATAGCCGTATATAACTTGAACAGTTAAAGGAAACCCAAGCATAGACATAGTTATACATATTTAAAGACTGAAATCTCTATTACATCTTATTCAAGACAGACTCCAAGAAAATTAGAAAAGCAAAAGGAAAGTTGCAGATGACTGGGGAATGGTGAAATAAAATACTTTAGGGAAATTTGACTTCTCTTGAAATATTAGAGTTATACATATTTAAAGACTGAAATCTCTATTACATCTTATTCAAGACAGACTCCAAGAAATTAGAAAAGCAAAAGGAAAGTTGCAGATGACTGGGGAATGGTGAAATAAAATACTTTAGGGAAATTTGACTTCTCTTGAAATATTAAAAAGACTTACATTTGCATAGAATACTGTATTTGTAGAAATGCTTCAAAAAGCATTTCATTTGATCCAAAAGAAACTGTAACTGACAGTTGAACATAATAATTGTCATAGCTACTGTATTGCAAGTAGCTATAGCCTATGGATAAATTCCTATCTAAGGGATAAATAAAGCCACCATAAAAATGTATTGGGTGAGTCAAAATATAGTTTTTTTCTACTCAATGTATACTAAGGTATATGGCTCTTGTCATATTTGGAATTTCTATTGCAATAAGCATAAAATTTAATTTGGTTGTAAACTATTGGTCACAAAGACATTTTAAAAGAACTTGAGAAGTTACTTCTTGGGTGGATAAAATTCAATTAAAATGAAAATAAAGAACATTGAGTTACATAAATTTACTTTGCATAATACGTACAAATCTCTATACAGTTGTGGTAGTGTTGAACATTAAAATGCAATTAAGTTTACAGGCTGATTAATTTAAATATTATTTAGTATAATATCAATCTTTAAAGGTGGTTGTTCTCAAATGAATTAAGGACATTAAAACTTCTTGTTTCTTTTCTGAGCATTCGTTCAAAGATTTCTCATAAAAATCACCACCAATCAGACGTAAAACAAGAATGCCACACTTGAAGATAAAACATATGACAGCTTAGCTCTCTCAGCATGTAAATTATCGCAGCCCTGTTTTCAGCCCCCACCAGATAATCTCCTCCTCTCCAAGACATGTAGCTTGTATACTAAGGAAATGTATTTAGAAATGGAAGTTTTTACTATAGACTCTACAAAAATATTACCTTAGGAAGTCCTACTACTAATAATATTCAACAAAAATCATTTGTTCTTTGAAAATCAACTCTTTACACAGCAGTATTTATATCTTTAATCTCTGAACCTACATGCTGAGCATGTTTAAATGAACATTTTACATGAGTAACATATGAATACATTTATAGTCCTTTACATTAAAAAGACCTCAGAAAAATTGTAACTTCTTCATTTTATAAATGAGGAATCTGAACTCCAGAGATGCAGTGTCTTACTTGGTAAGTGATAAAGCCAGGACTAATAGAGTTAGAGGGCTTCCAGCTCTGAGGTCTTTCCACTGACCCAAGCTGTCACCGTATGCAACATTTTGAAAGAGAAAGAGACATAGGGAGCTTAAACTATAAACATACAGGGCCGGGAACTAATAATTCAGTTATTTCATGCATTGTGGTTCTTTAAATAATTAGCTTACCTTATCGAAGGGAGGGTAATAATAAGGTTGTTTTTTATTCTCTGGAAATTTAATATGCAAAGCTGTTGCATTTTCAGTATATGGATTTGTCTGAACAGTTCCCATTGGATTCAACATTTCTTCAAGTTCATCTAAAACAGGCAAATAAATTTGATTCTCAAGAAATTAAACTAAAAAAATTGTAATGAATTTCCTTCCATGAAAATTACTTAAAAAGTGGTCACCTAAGAAAGTTTGGCACATAATTACATCACTAAGCCTCTATCTTCTGATAATGCTTGCAACAAAACTTCAGTACAAGTTTGCATACACCTTTAAAATGAGAAAGTTAAAAGTGATGGCTAGATTACCTCTTCAAATTTGGTAAGTATTCTCATTCTTAAAAAAAAAAACTTAATTGGAACTACTCTCCCTCCATCAAAATTTGGTAGCTCATAGGAATTATTATTTCATCACTGTATATGGACTTAATCACATATAATCTGGTTTTCATAGTCATCACAGTACTCAAACTGATATTTTGAGAGTCATCAATAACATTATTCTTGTCAAATGTAATGTTGTTAATGCTCCTTTATTATCTTGTGATTGCTGACACAAATACCTTCTCTGGTAGTTACTGTGGTGCTCCTTTTACCTCACCAGCTGCTTCTTCCTTCAAGGCACTCTTTCCTCTCCCTTCTCTACCACCCTAAATATTGTCCATTCACAGACTGCACATGGGATCTTAAAATTATAATACAGTCAGAAAATCCTGGAGTTCATATAATGTCACTGCCTAATTTCACAGATAAGTAAACTCAAATGAGGGAACAAAGTAAGGAATACAATCTAAGGTCTTCCCTCTCCAAAGTAATTTCTCTTTTCTTATACTGATTTTTAGCACAATTGTTCTCTCTGTTCTTCCTAAGGAAAAAAAGATAAGGTCCATTCTATCTAGGCCTAATGTCCATAAAGTATATATCCTCAGAATTATCTCCCAAAGCTAGAAAATCTTTACGAAGCATTTATAAGTTTCAGGTACTTAATCTTTTGTTCATCATGTTTAATATTTACTCATCTCACAGATTCAATTTTCACCTGGATGGAGGTAACTTTTATAATTTATATACCTCTAGGGCTGATTTATCAGCAAATTACAATCCCATATTTGTGCTCTTTGGTAGCATTATACTTATTTGTCCTATCAAATGCACCTGTCTGAAGTAACATATAGCATCTTTGCACTTATCAGCCCCAAACATACAGAGGTAACCTGTTCAAAAGTGATCACAGAAAAGGCATTCATATACTACAAATGAAAGGTACAAATTGGTACAATCTCTATTGGGGAGCAATTTGTGATTATCTATTAATATTACAAATGTATTTATTCTTTGACTCAAAACCTTATACCTGAACAAATGAAAGGTACAAATTGGTACAATCTCTATTGGGGAGCAATTTGTGATTATCTATTAAAATTACAAATGTATTTATTCTTTGACTCAAAACCTTATACCTGAGGTACCTGCAAGCAAGGTCATTCATTATAGCACTGTTTGAACTACCAAAAGTTAATTCTGTTTAAAAAAAATGGGGAGGGGGCAGCAATTCTCTAGATACATATGGTTAAAAAAAAAAAAGCAAAGAGCAGAACATCATACGGAATATGCTATTTGGTGTAAGAACAGGGAGGAAAATAAAAATCTACATTTGTATTTCTTAGTGTACACATGACCTATTCTGGAAAGATACAAAAGAAACCAGTAAATGGGATTATATACTCAATAATCTAAAGATTCTAGATGATAGACTATTCGTAGTTCCTTTGTTTCTTGTTTGCCCATACTGGAACAATTCTAGAGCTGATATATGCAGAGCTAACTGTGTTCATTTATTATTTTTCATCATACATTTTCTTAGAGATGAAGTTAGGTTCACAGTATGCCAAGTTAATACCACCAAAAACTGTCATTTTTACTAAAAATACCAGCTAAGTTGCTTGGTGGTTCTGGGAACATGTGAGCCTAAATTAAGATTTTTCAAGGCAGTGTAGTGCTGAAAGGCATAATTTTTCTCTTTTGTGAAAATACACTTTCACAAAATATCACAAATTTCACATAAGAAATATGTCAAATATACACAGTTCTCTTATACTTGTGGAATAACATGATTAGTGAAAATTACTGAAGGTATATGCAGGCGAGAGTAGACATAGGAGAATATACACACATACACACAAATCAGATTGTGGGAAGTATATAAATATGTCAGTAAATAACTGAATCCAAAAATAATTTCTCAGGTTGCAACTGCTAATGTATAAACATTTTCAAATGTCTGTCACTCACAAAATAAAATTCAAATAAGTTCACATCTTCACTAAATGTGTTAACAAATTAAGAAAAAAAAAAAGAAAGCCACTATTATAATGCAAAGTTTACACGGAAAATTCCAACATTTGGGAAAGCAGTATGGAATAATGGAAAGAGTTCAGCAGTCTTTCATTCAAATCCTATGTTTGAATCAATTATGTAAAACTGACTGATTTTCTCTAAGCTTCACTTTTCTCATCTGCAAAAATGGGAATAAAACTATCTAACTCACTTGATGAGGACATTTTGGGTAGTGGCTAAGAAATACAGGCATGTGGAAAAGGTTCCACTTACCTCAAATATCAGGCTAAAGCCAACTAAAGAGTAAGTGTTTTCACTATTTCTCCCATTGTTCCTTCTACAAGTAAAGAAAATTAGTACAAGCAGAAGCAATGAAGGTTATTATAAGGTTGTTCCTCAAGAGAATCTCTCAAAAAAAACTATAAAAATAAAATGTTTAAAGAACACATTCACTGAATTAAGAAATATACTCAAAAACAAACCATTTTATGAATATATGAAAATAATTTGTGTAAATCTATTTTAGAATAAATAACAAAGACGCAAAATAATGATTTACTGATTTGAAAGAATGATGTGTCATAAAAAGACATTAACTAGTTCACATGCCAAAAGTTACTCTTTAACACTAAGGATAAAGATGTAAATCTTACCAGGAAATGAAGACCAGCTGTGCAATATTATGTCGCCAGATCTCAATTGTCCCTTAAAGTCAAAAACCATTGTATTTACCCATGCTACAGGATAATGCTGTTGAAAAAGATACCATTGCATAAATATACCACGAATGAACTTTAAGGTATGAAGATGTTCATGCTCTTTGCTACAAAAAGTTAGTTGTAGAAAGTTCTGGCTGATTTATAAAATACTTATCTGAGATGAGAACAAAATGTGCATGGAAAAATGTTCACCGTCTTTATAATGGTTAAAGAAAACTCTAGGGCTGACTGGTTAGCTCACTCGGGTACAACGTGGTGCCAATAAAACCAAGGTCAAGGGTTCGGATCCCTGCACAGGCCAGCTGCCCCCAAAAAAGAAAACCCTAAAAGCCCATTAATGTCCCACAGTGAAACACTATATCAAAATGTAATATTACAGCCTTAGAAAACTATGAGAAATTTTTAATGATTCAAGAAATATTTGTGATATAATATCAGGATGTATGTTTTAAGAGCTTTCAGCGTACATACATATTAATGTGGGAGGAGGCAAAGTCTCTAGGTATTGTAGAATTTATTTCTGTCTCTAAAAAGAAGGCATTGAACTGGTAGCACTTTATCAAGACATTTAAACAGATGCATTAATTTGGCCAGAGTGTATCAAAAAATCTTATGAATAATAAACACTTTAAGGAGAATTCTATATCAGGAGAGGAAAAAACAGTCATACTATAGCTTTTTAGTCATAAAAACTTATTATTCAAGGAACATATAATGATAACAAGAGAAAATGCTTACATTCCCATGTTAAGAACAAAAGGACACAAATTTATATAGATAAAGACAGTAACTAGGTTTTATAAACATATAAAATTCATGTTCCTAACCCCCCAATACTTTTCAAAAATAAAGAAGAAAATGAAAAGCACTTAGTCACGTTATAGCAAAACATGGCCAGGGATGACACAAAGTAAATAACAGTCTTTATTTATCACACTTAGTGTGAATATTCACATATTTCACTCCAAATGCTGATGTGTTTGATTACACATTTATGCCCCAGCCCCCACAAGGTGTATTCAGCGAGGTTCAATCTATGATCTTTCTAAAATGCACAAAATTCTGAATTCTCAAATATAGTAGCAACTGGAATTCCAGTTCAGGGACTGTGGAGCTGTACATTTTTTAAATACCTTCATTCCTTTTTTATCCATGTCTTCTAGAAAGTTATTATATTTGCAATAGAACATTGATAGTATAAAATTTACTAAAACAAGTTTGTCAAAAGTAATTCAATGAACAAGATGTAAACATGAAGATTTGTTGTCTTATTAAAATAAGATCCTAGGGACCAAAGTTACATGATATGATTTAACTAATATTACTCAATTATTTCAGTCTTAAAATTATTCCATTATATAAGACAACATTTAGAAGTCAGTATATTATTACCATTTTTCCAGCTTTCCTGATGGTTTGATATTTAGAAGGATTCATAGTTTTAGTTGATTTCTTCGTTTTCACTTTATCCAAAACCGCATAAACAGCAAAACATAATCGAGTCATTCTTGGCAAGTCACAGGTATTAATATCAAATTCCAGTGGTTCATTCCAAATATGATCATTTTTCCCTGATATCTCTGAGCTTACGATGGTTTTACACAGGAGCTCTGTACCATGAAAAAGACCAGCTCTAACATGAACCTGTAATAGGAGAGACAAAAACAAATACAAAACCATGATATTGCACCAATGAAACATCTGTTTTGGAGAATGAAGAAACACATACTGGGAGAAGAAGCACAGCAACATCTGGAAAGCCTATTTGTCCACAGAACCACTAAACTGTAATTAATCAGTATATTGTTCACTCAACTAAAGTTAGTTTAATCTGCTTTTCCACTTAACAGATAAGCTATAAAACCACATAGTGGTCCAAATGCCAATGGGTCTCAATGGTTTAAACAAATCTAAAGAAACCAAGACAATAAGTATAAAAACTACTATCAAATATGCTTACTTCAATGACTTCATTTATTTGGGGCCTTGCCTTACTCTTCTGTATAGTTTGGAAACAATGGGGAATGAGAAAGCTTCAACGTTTCTTTAACTTCTAAATAATTTATGAAATTGTCACTATAAGGCAAGAGCCAACTAAAGATATTCTATCTGTATATATGATTATCTTACACATCACTTTATAGTTAGGAAAGAATACATGAATGAGAGGCTCCAAAGTATCTTTTTACTTCTAAACAATTTATGAATTTGTCTTGTCTATATGATTATCTTACACATCACTTTATAGTTAGGAAAGAATACATGAATGAGAGGCTCCAATGTATCTTTTTACTTCTAAACAATTTATGAATTTGTCTTGTCATTATAAGTCAAGAGCCAACTAAGATATTCTATCTGTATCTATGATTATTGCACACACCTCTGT